TGTAATCTCATCCCACATCCAGGAGGTCCATGTGAGAAATTTCTTGGAGTCAGACACCACAGCCAAGGAGGATGTGGAGAATGGTTGTGCCATGATCCATATTGGCACAACTTGTGTCAGGCTGGAGGATTCCTCCAAACGGCAGAGATATCAGTGTTTGCTCTTGGCTGCCCCCAGTAGTGAACTGACTAAAAATAGGGAGTTTAATTCAATTTGAAATCTAATTTTTACAGCACTTTTAATTTCTCATAAAGCAGCGGCTAAAAGACTTTGGAGATTATGGAATTGCTTATTTTATGATCTAAGGATTACGAACAACTGTTGGAAGTGGTTACAGAGATGGGAAACATTTTTGGAGGAGTGAGAACAGCCCCATTTCTCTTGGATTTTCTGGTTGTAATCTCCAAACCCGATTGTTACATTTGATTCCCACTATGTTTAGTTCCCATTCTGTGGAACTGAGAGCAGCACTGAGGAGAAAGAATTGGGTGTGATGGTGGATGAGAAACTCCCCATGAGCTGCAGTGTGAGCTCACAGCCCAGAAACCAATCCAGTCCTGGGCTGCATCCAAAGGAGTGTGGGCAGCAGGGGATGGAGGGGATTCTTCCCCTCTACTCTGCTCTGGTGAGACCCACCTGGAGAGCTGCACACAGCCCTGGTGTCCCCAACACAAGAAGAACATGGAACTGTTGGAGCAAGTCCAGAGGAGGCCACAAAGCTGATCAGAGGACTGGAGCACCTTCCCTACAAGGACAGGCTGAGAGAGTTGGGGCTGTTCAGCCTGGAGGAGACAAGGTTGTGTGGAGACCTCAGAGCAACTTGCCAGGACCTGAACGGGCTGCAGGGAAGCTGCAGATGGACTCTTGGTTAGGAACTGCAGCGACAGGACAAGGAGTGATCGGGATAAATTGAAAGAGGGAAATTTAGATTAGATATTAGGAAGACGTTCTTTGCTGTGAGGGTGGTGAGATACTGGCACAGGTTGCCCAGGGAGGCTGTGGATGCTCCAGGGAGGTTGTGGCTGCCCCAACCCTGACAGTGTTCAAGCTTGCATAAAGCCTTGATCACCCTGGTGTGGTGGGAGGTGTCCCTGTCCAGGGCAGGGGGTTGGGACTAGATGATCTCTAAAGTCAATCCCAACCCCTTAACATTCCATGATTCTACGATTCTACGCTGAAATACAGGAGATATGGAAAAATTCCATATTTATAAAATTATATCTTTTTTATATACATTATGTGTTTATCAGCACCAAACAGTCCAGAGCAGAGCAGAGCAGAGCAGGGAACTGGACTACAATGCACACATAAATTACAAACAGCCCATTGCAGTGTTAAATCTTGGGCTACAGATGTATTCTGGACAACAAACCCCCTGAAAAAAAGCAAATGCCTGTCCTGAAAAAAGCATCACCTCCTCTATTTACAGGTTCACAGAAATATTGTCTTAGGGATTTTTTTCTCCCTCTCCAGTGTTGGGTTTTTTCCCTCTTTTCAAGTTGGCTCTTTGGGCTGGAGCCAGAACTCACTCCTAAATTGAGACATAATTAGACATGTCCTACTGTGTCTTTTTGGGCAGTTCATTTAACCTCTGTGCTTTATTCCAGTTCAGGTTTAAAAAGGAGGTGAGAGAATCTCTCTTGACTGCATAAAAAAGAGCCATGGAAAGCCAAGGCACAAGAACAAGGGTTACAACTCATACCTGGCCAAAATCAGGCATATCCAATCTGCCTTTAGCCCTACCCTGGGTGTCAGCTGTGCCATCCACACACACACATCCCTGTAATGCTGCTCTCAGACTTCCAAACCTCTAACATATCTCGGGAAACAGCTTTTTGTTGGGAAAAACAAAGGATATTCACCTTGACAGGCAGGACCTATCAGTGCCACACATCTCCTTGAGGGTTTTGCCCAGCCAAAGGGTCCAGCACTGTGGTTGCACCACAGGGATAAAGCTATGGGAAAGTAGATGAGGTATTTCCCAGGCTTCTCTCATCACAGACAACCTAACAGGACCTTTGTCATTTGGTGCTCACAAGAGACTTAAATAAAGCCACAATAAACTCCAGGATCAAACTCCAGTCCCATTCTCACACCACAGCACTCACTGGAAGTGCTCCAAACAGCTAAAAAATCCTATTTTAATATGACAGCTACATGATAAAACTGCTAGACTATAAGGTTTGGGGGTCTGGGGGAGGCAGAGGATGGAGGAAGAGGCATGAAGTGACCTATGTAATGGTACCATGAGGATGCAATGACAGTCACACTTGAGCTTTCAGGTAAAACAATAAAACCACCATCTTGCAAATTGAAACATATTTTCTGAACACAACACTCTTGCAATTGGCTTTGCCTAAAATCAAGATCTTGATGCATTTCTGTTCAAAATTAGAACTAAAATGATTTCTGGTGTCAGCCAAAGCCACCAGACAAACCCACAGGCCTGAGGGAACACATTTTTGCTGACAAAAAGGAACAAAAAGCCTGTCTGGGTTGCCTGTTGTGGGGCTGACAGTGATGGATTGGAAGGCTACAGCTCCAGCATCCATCTCCATTCCCTGCCCACAACAGCACCTCAGGCCAGGGCTGGGGGAGCAGGTCACCTGCCCCACTGCTCAGGTTGGCATCACCTGCTCTTCAGTGTCTGAGTGCTCCTGGTTTGGCCTCACAAAACAGTTGGAATTGAAGGAATTGTGCCTTTAAGCCTGCTAGTAAATGCCATCCGTTTTCCTTAGCAGCAGGAGCTTTTAGGGAAGAGATGCTGCTTAGTGACCTGCAGACAGAGCGGAAAACTGCTGCATTCCCAGTCTGTTTGCAGCCAAAAAAGAAGGAAACTATTATTAATGACAAATGCTTCCTATTATTCCCAGCTATTTGCCCATCCCTACTGGGACACAGCTGCTACCGAAGCGCTGATGGGACACAAATTAGACATTCAGGGCTGAAGGCATTGCTGAAAGAAAAATAAGGCATTGCTGGTGTTATGACATATGATAGAGCTGCAAACATTGGGATATGAGTCATTAAACAAGGATTCTGCTCCCAGGTTATTCAGCTGAGTGCTGGAAAAGAGCAAAGGGGCATTAAAAGATGGATATATACTTGTTATGAACACGAATATTCTTACTGGGGGATGTTTCTCAGCAATAAATTTAGTCTCACTATTGATGGGAGAAGCTGAAGGAAAACATGGACAGGAAAATGTTTTATAAGGGGGGGAAGTACACGTTTTGACAGTCTGAAGTGCCAACAGATGATGAAGCCAATGCAGCTGATGTCACTGAGCCCTGGAAGTGTTCCAGGCCAGGCTGGATGGGGTTTGGAGCAACCTGGTGTAGTGGAAGGTGTCCCTGCCCATGGCAGGGGGTTGCAATGATAAGGGCTTTAAGGTCTCTTCCAACCCAAACCATTCCATGATTCCATGATAACCAAAATACATCCCAATCTCCACCTCAATCAAGAAAGCCAAAAAGGTGGATATCTGGAAACAAAAATCCTCAAAATACTTTAGCTAAGGTTTCAGAGCTCTTTATCAACTCTGTCAAGGTCTGTGTTTTTAACAGCCACAGATGCTGATCCATCCCAATGTTAATCCAAACAATAAATCTATCCCAATACTAATCCCAACTATAGATCCATGCCCTGTGTAAGGGACAGAAGATCCTCTGCATAAGTTTCCTCTGCACAAGTGTGTTCATTCTGCTTTAGCTTAGTTTTCAAAATATGAAGAAAAACACCATTTTCTCTGCTTTGCGCTCTGTTTTATAAGCCTTTTACTGAGTAGGACAAGCAGCAACTTGAGGGCAACCTTAGGATTCCAGAGCAAATTCAGGTGGACACTAGATGACCCAAAATGAGTAGATTGAGAGCAGAGCCACAGCGCTGGCACCACAATGCTCCACGCACACCTCTGAGTAGATTAATTTATTTTGCCACAAGACATCACTTTTCCGTAACACTGACACTGCAAAAAGGCTTCAACTGGAGTTTAAAACTCCCTGAGATCAGGAGCGGACCAGAATTTCTGAGGAACGTAAGCTTCTTATGACCAGGTTGATTCAAGCACCATCCACACTTGGCTTGAACAATCCCAAGGATGGGATAGGATATAAGTAAATAAACTGATTTTTGTTAGTCCTCCTCATGTTTCATACACTTGAATCCCTCCTAGTCGCAAAATACTCCATTTCAACAAGTAAAGATGGTCTGGAGAGCACCAAGAGAGCATTAAAGAGTAAAAGGATGAGCAAAACATTGATCTATTAGAATTTGCTGAACTTATTGTGTCCTGAAGATAGAGTCATAGAATGTTAAGAGGTTGGAACAGACCTTAGAGATCATCCAGTCCCAACCCCCTGCCCTGGGCAGGGACACCTCCCACCACACCAGGTTGCTCAAGGCTTTATCCAGCCTGGCTTTGAACACTGCCAGGGTTGGGGTATCCACAGCCTCCCTGGGCAACCTGTGCCAGTGTCTCACCACCCTCACAGGAAAAATACTTCTTCCTAATATCTAATCTAAATTTCCCTCTTTCAATTTATTCTCATCACTCCTTGTCCTGTCACTGCAGTTCCTAGCCAAGAGTCCCTCTGCAGCTACCCTGGAGCCCCTTCAGATCCTGGCAGGTTGCTCTGAGGTCTCCACACAACCTTCTCTTCTCCAGGCTGAACAGCCCCAACTTCCTCAGTCTGTCTTTGTGGGGAAGGTGCTCTAATCCTCTTAGGAGGCTCATGGTCTCCTCTGGACATGCCCCAACAGTTCCACATCCTTCTCATGTTGGGGACATCAGAAGTGTGTGAAGCATTTCAGGTTGGGTCTCACAAGAGCAGTAGAGGGGATGTATCACAGAGTAGATATTTCCAGGAGTGATCATGGTGAGCACTGTGTGGGTGTTCACCAGTCCTGAACACTTTGATCCACTAATATACTGACTTGGGTCCCAATACACAGTTTTTGGGCAAAGCAAGAAAGGGCAATGAGATGATTTTGCATCTTACGTTCGCACTCCTCCACATCCAGGTTGAACTGCTGCAGGGCCCCGAGCGTCAGCTGCCGCACTTCAGCCTCCAGCAGCAGCTGCATCAGCGAGGTGGAGAGGTGTTTGCAGGCTGACATGCATGCTGTCTGCGCCACCTTCCCCTGCAAGGCAAAAGGGAAACTTGTTAAGACCACCAAGCACAAAATGTGAAAGGAACTTCTTTAGACCAGTCCAGGCTCCTGTTGAACTGCTGCAGGGCCCCGAGCGTCAGCTGCCGCACTTCAGCCTCCAGCAGCAGCTGCATCAGCGAGGTGGAGAGGTGTTTGCAGGCTGACATGCATGCTGTCTGCGCCACCTTCCCCTGCAAGGCAAAAGGGAAACTTGTTAAGACCACCAAGCACAAAATGTGAAAGGAACTTCTTTAGACCAGTCCAGGCTCCTCAGAATCACAGAATGAATCAGGTTGGAACTCTGAGATCTCAAGTCCAACCTGTGACCTAACACCACCATGGCAACTAGACCACGGCACTAAGTGCCATGTTCAGTCTCTCCTCACCACCACCATGGTGACTCCACCACCTCCCTGGGCAGCACATTCCAGTATCTAATCACCCATTCTGGGAAGAAATTCTTCCTGATGTCTAACCTAAACCTCCCATGGCACAGCTTGGGACTATGTCTCTCATCCTGTCACTAGTTTCCTGAGAGAAGAGATTGAGCCCAACTGGCTCCAACCTCCTGTCAGGGAGTTGTGGAGAGTGATAATGTCACCCTTGAGACTCCTCTTCCCCAGGCTAAATAACCCCAGTTCTCACAGCTGCTCCTTGTGTTCCAGACCCTTCACCTGCTCCATTCCCTTCTCTGGACATGCTCCAGCCCATCAATGTCCCTCCTGAAGTGAGGAGCCCAGAACTACACACAGGACTCCTCAATGTGTCCCATCTGTGATGGAACCTTCACATAGTGCTCAACCTCATATCAGTTTCTTCAAAGGGAATCACCTTCTAGGACCTCCCATTGCTATGAGCAGGATTAGACCACGTCCCTGCCTGGGAGCAGCTCAAATCCAGGAGAACCTTGGGGTGTTCAGAGCTCCAAGGACCTCTCATCACATCCTAAGATGGGCAAACAACATCTCATTTATTATCATGGAATCATGGAATGGTTTGGGTTGGAAGAGGCTTTAAAGATCATCTACTTCCAACCCACCTGCAATGGGCAGGGACACATTCCACTAAACCAGGTTGCTTCAAGCCCCATCCAACCTGGCCTGGAACACTTCCAGGGATGGGGCAGCCACAGCTTGATTCTCTTTATGGCAGATAAGACTTGGACAGGTTTGCAACATCCATTAAAGTCATAAAAATGGGGAAATCCTTTGGCACAGGCGCAGATTTTCACCCAACCCCTCAGGCTGACACCATATAGAATCATTTCATGGCTGCATGTGCAGCCGCACGGTGAGATTTCTG